AAGAACAGCCAGTGCTCTTAACTTCTGAGCCATCTCTCCAGTCCCTTTGGTATTCTTTTCATTGTTGTTTTTACATCTTTATTGAGATATAATTCATATACCATATAATTCACCCATTTAAAGTATGCAGTTCAGTCAGTCACAGTTGTACACACCCATAATTCCAAAGGCTGCTGTAGGATGATCATTCAAGTTCAAGGCCAGCTTGAGCTACATAGTAAATGTGAGGTCAGCCTAAGTTATATAATGAGACTCAGTGTCAAGAGAGAAAGGCTGAAGGTGGTGACACATGCCTTTAATTCCAGCACTTGGGAGGTAGAGCAGGTGGATCTCCGAGTTTGAGGCCAGCCTGGTCTACATAGTGAGTTCCAGGGCAGCCAGGGTTACACAAAGAAACCTTGTCTCAAAAAGTGAGAGAGAGAGAAAGTGGGGGGGGCTGGAGAAATGCTGAACAGTTAGGATGCACTTCCTGTTCTTCCAGAGGACCTAATTTCCATCCCCAGCACTCAGGAGGAAGAAACAGGTAAATCTTTACGAGTTCCAGGCCAGCTTGGTCTATATAGTGAGTTCCAGGTCAGCCAATGCTACATAGACTGTGGAGATATATTGTGTACCCGAGTAAAATTTGCCCAAAGATCAGAGAGACAAAGGAACAAGCCACAGCTACCACCTCTTACCTCACCAACTCTTCAGCCTGAAAAAATCTTCTAGCAGAAAGATCTCTAGCTGAAAAGGGTTCCTCAGCTGAAAAGCCTTTAGTTCCTGTCTCCTCATACCTTATATAACCTTTCGCCGCCCAGCCATCACTTCCTGGGATTAAAGGCATATGTGCTTCCAAGTACTGGGATTAAAAGTGTGTGCCACCACTGCCTGGCTCTGTTTCCTCTCCTAGACTGAGTCAATCTCATGTAGTCAGGGTGGCTTTGAACTCACAGAGATCCAGATAGATCTCTGCCTCCCAAGTGTGAGGATTAAAGGTGTGTGCCACCACTGCCTGGCCTCTATGTTTAATCTAGTGGTTTATTCTGTTCTCTGATCTTCAGGTAAATTTATTAGGGTACATAATATATCACCACAGTAGACTGTCTCAAAATTGCTTTAATTACTTTTATTTATTGGGGTGGTTGGTTTGAGGAGAACACAGTTACACACACACACACACACACACACACACACACACACACACACACACGTATGCATACCAGAGCAAGCATGTAGAAGTCAGAGGACATCATTAGAGTGGTTGGACCTCTCCTTCTGTGTGAATCCTGAGGACTGACTCGGGTTGTCAGGTTTGGAAGAAGTGCCTTCACCCACTGAGCCCTCAGGGCGCGGCACAGAATTTTTGGTAGCCCTGTTTCCATTCCTTTGTGTGTACAGCTAGGCACAGAATTGCTCGGTCATAAAGTAACCCCAAAGAACTATTTGAGAAACTGCTCGATTCTTTTCGTTCTTTTTAAATTTTATGGGTCTGAGTGCTTTGCCTGCAATATGTCTGTGCACCATGTGCATGTCTGATGCCCTTGAAGGTTGGAAGAGAGAGTCAAATCCCCTGGAACTAGAGTTATGGACAGTTGTGAGACATCATGTGGGTTCTGGGAACTGAACCCAGATTCTCTGCAAGAGCAGCCAGTGCTCTTAACTGTTAAGCCATCTCTCTAGGCCCACCTTTCTTCCTCTTCTTTTTTCCTTTCCTTTTTCTTCTTTCTTTCTTTTTTTTCTTTTTTGTTTTTTGTTTTTTGTTTTTTGTTTTTCGAGACAGGGTTTCTCTGTGTAGCTTTGCGCCTTTCCTGGATCTCGCTATGTAGACCAGGCTGGCCTCGAACTCACAAAGATCCGCCTGCCTCTGCCTCCCGAGTGCTGGGATTAAAGGCGTGCGCCACCACCGCCCGGCTTCTTCTTTCTTTTTTAAAATTAAAAAAAAAATTTTTTTTTTTTTGAGAAAAGATCTTTTCATATCACCCTGATGGTCTGGCACTGGCTATGTAGCTCAGGCTGGCTTCAAGTTTGTGACAACCCTCTCACTTCAAGGTGAATGTTGTGAACATAAGTGCATGCTACTGAACTTGGCTGCTAGACTGTTCTCCAAAGCAGCCATACCATTTTACATTACTACCAGAGCACATGAGAATTTTAATTTTCCCATATTCTTGCCAATATAACTATGCTTTTGAGAAATAATAGTGGCAATACAGAACCCCTATCTAACTTGGGTAGCTACTATTTATTTACCAGCTAGTGTAGCACAGAGATGAAAAAGAGTCTCCTCTAATCACTAGGGTCAGTGAGAGAGAATACAGCCATCTCTAGAACACTCCCAGGCCATGCTAGCAGCCACAGCCCATATGTATAGTATTTGTTACTTCCTACTAGACTAAGCTTTGGACAAACAGATATCTCTATCTCTCTGACTTTATCTGCATCTGTTGAATGGTGAACTAAACAAATTATTAGTATTTTTCTTTTTTTTTTATTAGTATTTTTCTACTGGTGGCCCCTGTTGAGGTAGAAGAGAAAAAGAGCAGTCTGAATGGCAAAAGGGACCAAGAAAGAAATAAGTAGCTAGAGCTGGACAGTGGTGGTGCACACCTTTAATCCCAGCACTCGGGATGCAGAGGCAGGCGGATCTCTATCAGTTTGAGGTCAGCCTAGTCTACAGAGTGAGTTCCAGGGCTATGAAGATAAAAACTACACACACACACACACACACACACACACACACACACACACACACACACAAAGAGTAGATAGAAAGAGAGGAGAAAGGAGGAAAAAGCAAGAAGCTTGGGGACCTGGTCACTTCGGGTCGGACTTTTGTTCTGTGACTTGCCGTCCCCACCTATCCACATTATTTGTCTGGAAATATTCCTTCTTGGGCTACATAATGAGTTCAGGGCCCAGCTGGGGTACATAGCAAGAGTCATTTGGTCTCAAAAAGCCAAGATCCAGGTTTTAATTCTCAGCATTGTAAAAAAGAGGAGTGTTCCTTCTTTGCTTTTATTATTCTCCCTGCGGTCTTACCTCTGCAAGTTTAAGAGACAAAAAAAAATAGGAAAATGATGGTGGTACCGATAACAACCAAAAAAACCCTACACACACATAAATCAACCACTACAATGATTTAAAAGGATGTATTTTTTAAAGGATGACTATGAAGGACTTTTGTTGTTGTTGTTATGAAAAGAAGAAATCCAGGGCTGGAGAGATGGCTTAGCAGTTAAAAGCACTGGCTGTTCTTCCAGAGGACCCAGGTTCAATTCCCAGCACCCACATGGCAGCTCACAACTGTCTGTAACTCCAGTTCCAGGGGATCTGATACTTTCACACCAATGCACATAAAATAAAGTTAAATAAATTTTTTAAAAAAGAAAAAGAAAAGAAGAAATCATAATCCAGGTTTTCCTTCGTAGGACACTAAATGGCCCATCTCTAAAAAATGTTGGCTACCTTTCTGCTATGACATGAGAACAGGGCTCACCAAATGGCCATACTCACAATGACTTTACACGGTTCTTACCATCTACTTCTAACTAGAATAAGTTGTGAATACAGTCAACACCAGGTTCTTGGTCTCTTTCTCCTCAGAGACCCTCACATCTCCCTATGTTCAATTATTTCCTGCCTCCTCTCTGAAGTCTCTCATAAACAAGTGCACACACAGACCGTCATCTTTCCCTTTCATGAATTCTTCAGGTAGTCCTGCCTTCTCTGTTTTGTGGGTTTGGAAGGGAAGACAGCAAAACACATGAGGTGCCAATACAATTTCTCCTTTAGTAGAGCTCTGCAGGGCAATTACCAAGCCAATCTGCTAGGCTTTATAGGTTCATAAACCCTCCTTTTACGAATACACTGTGACAGCCCGACACTGCATTGATTATGACAGCAGTCTTCAGCCACATTCCTTTTTAACTGCCCTGCTTCCCAGACCAACGCTGACCACATGACCCTTAAATTATTGTATTTATGTAAGCTTTTCCCTGGCCAGGGGCAGTGTCCAACTCCATCAAACCTGGGGAAGAAGATTGGGGATTGCTACTTCTCTGGTAGTTCTTTGGCGCTGTAGCCTAGGGTCTCTTGTCTGAATCAATTTGGGGCACTGCGTGTTTTCAAAGGAGGTATGCTAAGGATGGGATGCACAGGACCCCCATCCCCTTTCACTATGAAGGAGCTGAGGAAATAGATAACAAAACATCTTGGCAGATGCCAAGGACAGCGGCTGATTTCCAGAGGCTTGCCTGCCCATTATTGACAGGTGTAATAACTAACTGAGAGGCTAGGAAAGGAGGATGGGAAGGGAGTCGGAAAGCAGGATTTGAAGGAGTCACAAAATGGATTCCGGAATTACTGTTGGTGGACCTTACTCCTCTGGACCCCAGCATCACCACTTGTTCAGCAGGATAGAATCATAATCCTTAACCACAGGGGAAAGGAAACGTTAGTGTTCAAAAGAAATCCGGGTAAAGAAAGGTGTCTGTTCAGATCAAGGATAGGGCCTTCTTTAGCTGACTGCACTGGAGCAGCCCCAATCTGGCAGAGAAAGCCAGTTTTAGCTGCTGCCATTCAGTTAAGTTATGCCATTCACTGAAGGTCATCAGGAATGTGGTCCGAAGGCTCTAGAACATGACCAAGACGACCTGCGTGGGTGGGGGCACCATTAACCGACTGACAACTCAGATGTTGAAAGATCTGCACTGCAGGCATAAAAAGCGTGGGCTAGACCAGCAGCAACCAAAGAGCGCCACACGTGGAAGAGAAACCGCGACCGCAAGCCTTAGGTGCAGGTAGGCAGTCGGCCTGGCCCCTCTAGGACACAAGGGGCTCTGTCTTCAGCAGCTGCAAGCCCAGGGCTCCTATACTTAAGGAATCCGGCAAATGTAGCCTTTGTTCAGAGACTAAGCAATCCTCTAACACAGGTCAGTGCAAATGGGGACTTCGCTCTCCTCTGTCGTCAGCCTGGTGTGTTTCTAGCCCCGCCTTTCTTGGGCGGGACTGTCGCTCCGCCCTGCACCCGCCCCGGGGCGGGGCTCCCGCTGGCTCCCGGCTGTCCTTTCCACCGCGGCTTGGGCCGAGGCTGCTGTGTCCTGCAGAGCTCCCGAGCACGTGCAGGTGAGTGAGGGCCCGACCAGGAGAGGTCCTGACCAGGAGAGGTCCTCGGTTTCCCGACCGAGGCGAGAAGGAGGGTGAGAAGGCTCCTGCCTGGGCACGGGAAGGCTGGGGCTTGTTTTCTAGTGCCTCCGGCCCTGGAGGTGATCTTGAAGGGACTAGGGGAAATCGTAACCCCGAAGAGTCGCCGCCAATGAGGTGCGGTCCCTCTCCAGCTGGGGAGTCACCTGGAATTCGTTCAGAGTTTAGTATTCCAGGAGCCCCGGGCAGGGGCCGTGAACGGTTTGTGAGGAACACGTGTCCGTGGGGAACCAGATATGCTTCAGCCCATGCCCTGAAAGGGTTTTTAGACCTGAACAATGAGGCCTATATTGGTTTTCCTGTTCCTTTAAATTGGTTGGAGTGGGTTAGATGTGGTTTGGGAATGGCATAAGTTTGGATAACTTGCCTATATATATGTGTGTGTGCAGATAATGTCATTTTGTTGTCCACTGAGTGTCCACTCTACACTTACATATCCTCTGGGGATTTTGTTGTTAAGTTTGGCTTATTCAGACATGGGTCTCAGTGCAGTCTAAGTTGGTTCTGGAGTCCGTCTTCCTGCCTTAGCTTCCCACGCGCTAAGATTACGGGCATCAGCCACCATGCCAATGCACTCCTGGTCCCATCCACCTGATGTACAGGGTACTGTCATACTACTACTACTATTCTACAAACGAGAACTCTGAGGCAGTTAGTTACTTGGTTCATGGATAGGCTCTTCGGAGACAGAGCTCCCAAAGGTATGCTGTTTCAGTACTGTTGTTTCTGTGGCACGGCCTAAAAGAAATGAAGGGAGTTTGAGCAGAGGGGTTTTGTTTTTAAACTGCACGGGTGTTGACTGACTCTAACCTGGGACCTTTTGATTTCGTAGTGCCCAGCTGCCGATTTCAGGAGATGCCTGCCCTGGTGAGTACAGTTCAGCTAGTTCTCGGCGCCAGCTGTAGGCAGCTACCTAGGTTTCCTTGTACCTAGGCAAGTGTTACACAGCTGGGAGAACAGCAGCCAACAGCTGGTTGGCATTCTGGGCCTGGTTCCTGCCAACTCTGTTGTTAACTATACCAGGATGTCAGCATAGTTGCTTGCCCACTGAGGTAAGAGCAAGTTCTGCAGGAAGAAACCTAAGCACCGGGTCTTCCTTAGTGGTTCTGGTCTGACAGGTTACTTCAGTCACAACTTGGAAACAAAACAGAACAAAAGAAATCAAGCCAGTGAGGGATGAGAAAATAGAAAAAGATAAGGTTTAGTGCCTGTTGACTAGTCCAAACTGGGCCTGAGACAGTGGAGGAAGTTACTGGAATGTGCTTTCACTAAAAGTGCATAGCTCCCTCTCCCCACAATAATAAAAGTTAGATTATGACACACACACAACTTTGGTTTTTCTAGATAGGATTTCTCTGTGGAACAGCTCTAGCTGACGTGGGACTCATTATGTAGACCGGATTGGCCTCGAACTCAGATTCACCTACCTCCAGAGTGCTTGGATTAAAGGCATGAGCCACCACCGCCTGGTTTATAATCCCTTTTTAAGGGATTTCAAAAGTAGGTGTCCATGGAATGACCTCACTGATGAATCTGGAGTTGTGGCATGCAGGATCCTTTTAGATTATCTGGGCAACCTAGAAGCCCATTCTCAACAAAAACTATTAGTATTCTGTTCTAGCTCTTCAGTAAATTTTATGAGTATCAGTTGATCATGGGGTTCTGGGAACTAAGCTTAGGTCAAATGGTACCAAGTAAACAGTTAGGAACCTTTTGTTTGATTTTTTAATTATTATTAGAATGCTTATTTTCTAGGAAATGCCTCAATTTTAGGCAAATACAACATCACTTAGAATGAATCTGGTGACTATCCAATGGAGCCTACGTAGTTACTGTATCTGTGAAAACTAATATCCTGGTTTCCACAGGCATACCCAACCTCAATATGCTTCACCCATACCCTGAAGGGTTGGTGGCATCCTCTGATCTATGTCCCTGCTTTTTCTCTCTGCCCCTTTTGGACAGGGGTCCTTACCAGACTGCCTTAGTACCTCCTGAAGTTCCATGACTCAGCATATCGCTTTCTGGTTTTCTGTGCCTGGGCACCCTAGAATTTGGATGGCCACTCAGGGATAGCTGGAACTGAGCTCTGCAAACAGGCCACCTTCATCAATTTCCAGAAGTTTCTTACCCACCCCAACCCCCTGAAGGTTGTTTTAGGGGACCACAATAAGGCCTTTTGCCTGGCCAACCAATCAGGCCTGTGTGCATCTTCTATTATTCTGTCTTATCTCTACCTGCCCTTGGGTTTATACCCATAATTACTTTGTATTTTTTTATAACTTTTTAAAAGATTATTATGCATACAATATTCTGCTGGCGTGTATGCTCACATGCCAGAAGAGGGCACCAGTTCTCGTTATAGATGGTTGTGAGAGCCACCTTGTGGTTGCTGGGAATTGAACTCAGAACCTCTGGAAGAGCAGCCAGTGCTCTTAACCTGTGAACCATCTCTCCAGCCCTACATTGTATTCTTATGCACCAGTACCAGCTTAGCTCTGGAAATGTCCTCTAAACAGCGGCCTGCTTTAGCATTAGCGGTCCCTCTGCATTGGCCCCAACATAATATTACAGGTATCTATGCTTGCCTTCCTGCTCCTCACTCTTCCCCTGACACCAATCCCACTTCTAACAACTTAGAATAACCTCACTAACTAAACCTTATTTCTAAACTCAGATAGCTCCTGTACCTAAAATAAAACTGTCCCCTACTACCTTGTTCTTGATCCATCTTTCAGGGAAGATGTGGGCTGCAGGTCATCAGGGTGTTCTATCAGTTCACCTTCTTTTTTTTCTTTTTTTTGGTTTTTCGAGACAGGGTTTCTCTGTAGCTTTGCGCCTTTCCTGGAACTCGCTTTGGAGACCAGGCTGGCCTCGAACTCACAAAGATCCACCTGGCTCTGCCTCCCGAGTGCTGGGATTAAAGGCGTGCGCCACCACCGCCCGGCTCAGTTCACCTTCTCTTAAGAGGACTCGGGTGAGCCTTGAGTAATTATTCATTGTGAATAGACTTAATTGTGAATGGTCTTAGGACTAGTGATGAACAGAGGGCTTCAGAGGTAGTTAGTAGAAAGAAGGCAAACAGTGGGACATAAATTACATTTATTTTGTATGTGGAAGGACTCAGGATAGCTTGCAAGAGGCACTTATGTATCTAATAAGCAGTCCCAGTGAAGGACTGAACTAGTTATTTACAGTTGTAAATATATAATTCATTGTTAATGTTACCTCACTATTATGAATTGCTAAAGCTTACTTGCTTGCTTTTCTTTAGGATGACTTGGAAGTAGGGTGGTCTTCACCCCCCTGAAGGAAGTAGTAACCCACAACAGTCCAAGTGTGGTTATCAGGTAAGTGTCTGTTGTAACATGACTATTTGATATGTATCAGGAAATAATTTGGAAGCATATTAGCTCTTGGCAGTGACTGTAGAATTTTAGTGTTTTTGTTTGAAGGTGTGAAGGATTTTTGTGTCTGCCATTCCAACTGAGGGATATTGTGAGTCCTAGAAGACAAGTAGTAGAGTGTGTCTTGTTTTTGTTCACTGCTAAGAGTCTATCCAAGCTCAGTCCCTGCCAATGAATGGTAGGGATTGGAGTTGGATAAAACTGAAAGTGTAGAAAGTACGTCTGTTTTCAAGTCAACATCCAGCTGATTGTGAAGTCTGTTCACGTCGGCTCCCCAGGGTCCTGGTGACCGTGAATTGGGAAAGGGAAATTTTTTTCTGGAGTGACCCAACAGTTGTCAGCTATCCAGGCTGCATGGTGCCTGTGATTGTGTTACACTGTTGGGAGAGTAAGGCTGTCTTAAGGGTTGGCTCTGAGCGCTGTTTTGGTGTTCATGCTGACTACCTTCAGGCAGTGTTTGCATCCCTGAGAGTGGAAGGACTCCTTGTGGAGTTGGTCCTGGTCTAGGTGCAAACAATTTTTTTCATGCTAAAAGAAAAGGGGTGGGACAGGAATGCAGCTGTGTGTGGGGGACACTTTGCCTCATTTGCACTAGGCCTTGCACCTTTTACTGACAGCTTGTTACCTTTTCCTCCTTGAATCCTAGATCCGAATGAGGAATCTGCCTCCATCGGGACTTCAGGTTTCTGACACCACCATGTTCTGAGTAATGTATGTGGTCCCTGTAATGTTGAGGTCCTTATTAAAATACTCAGATGGGGAGAAAAGTTAGATTTGCTTTAGAGGACTAAAGAGCTGTGATAAAATTCCAGAGAATGTTTGCAAAGCCCAGCTATGGTTTGGGGCATGGAGCAGTAATGGAGCTCACACCCAAGGCAACTGAGCTACATCTTCAGCTGTAATTTCTTGAGGCGCTAGATGATGGCTGTGTACTACATACAGCTGGCTACTTGTTAATTAGCTAGTGGTTTTCGGGTTCTGTTTGGATAGTAGCCATTTTAGGACAGCTCAGAACATTCCAAAAACTTTGGGACGTTGCTTTTTAAAAGCAAAGGTCTATTAAGTTCCTAAAATGGCCCAGATAGTAAATATTGTTACTATTGTCTTTGTTTTGGCAACTGTGAAAAGCAGATGGTGTATCAGCAAACGAACGTGGCTATATTCCCATAAAACTCACTGATAAACACTGAGATTGGAATTTTATTGAAACTTTTAGGGTCAACATTCCCAAACGTTTGAAAGCTTTTTAAAATTTCCCAGAGGCCACTGACAAAGGTAGAAGAATAGAATTAGCAACATTTCTGACCTTTGAATGAAGTTCAGGCCTTGGGGATTGAATAGCATTAGTCACAGTATCAAAATGTATCTTCACACTTTATTTTTAAAATATTCTAACCCGGGCTAACCTCAAACCAGGCAACCTCCTGGGTGCTGAAGTTAATCATGAAACACATGCCAAGCTTTTGTTTGTTTGTATTCCTTATCTGAAAACAATAAGGTGACTAAATAAAGAAGAAAAAAAATTCTCATTGAATTTATATGGTTTTTACATGACTTCTGTTGTATTTCTCCATCCATTTGTAATGAGCTTAAAGAGGAGATTTAAACAAAGGTGTATGGCATATGTATGTAGATCCCCTGGAGGACAGAAGAGGACATTGAATCCCCTGGAATGATTTGCTGAGAACCAAGTGTTCTAGAGGACCAGCAAGATTGGCCACTGATAGATCTGTCCAGGCCCAAAGCTTTGAGACAGTTCCTCATGTATGAGAGTTTGGCCTAATACTATCTCCATCCCTGAAGTGTTGGAATTAGTGAGGACTACCACACCTGGTAGATCCTGCAGCCTCTACTGAGTTATGGGGTTACAGATGCCACATCTGGTTTATCCCACTATTTTTCAATAGTCTTGTGTAACCAAGATTGGCCTTAAACTTTAGTATGTAACAGTAACTTCCCTGTACCTTGCAAGCAGTCTGATTACTGGCATGCACTTCTGTGCCCCTTCTATCTACAATTTTGTGAGTGTGGGCATGATTATGCTACTCACAGGACTAGGGGAGGTGCAAGGACAGCACTTGAGTTCATTTCTTTTTTTCTTTTTCTTTTTTGGTTTTTCAAGGCAGGGTTTCTCTGTAGTTTTGGAGCCTGTCCTGGATCTCACTCTGTAGACCAGGATGGCCTCGAACTCACAGATCTGCCTGGTTCTGCCTCCCGAGTGCTGGGATTAAAGGCGTGCGCCACCACCGCCTGGCTTGGCATGTGAGTTCTGGAAATCCAACTCAAGTTGTTAGGCTTGGCAGCAGGCAGCTTTACCCACTAAGCCATCTCTTCCTGTCCTCTCTATGGGGTTAGTCTTGGACTGTCCAGGGATACCCATGAGCACAGAGGTTCCTGTGGTATTTGTTTTTCTTTTCTTTTTTTTTTTTTTTTCAAGACAGGTTTCTGTAGCTTTGCGCCTTTCCTGGAACTCACTCTGTAGCCCAGGCTGGCCTCAACCTCACAGAGATCCACCTGCCTCTGCCTTCCGAGTGCTGGGATTAAAGGCGTGTGCCACCACCGCCTGGCTCCTGTGGTATTTCTTTTTTTTTTTTTTTTAATTTTTATTTTACGTGCATTGGTGTTTTGCCATGTGTTGGGTCCTCAGGAACTAGAGTTGCAGACAGTTGTGAGCTACCACGTGGTTTCTGGGAATTGACCAGGGTCCTCTGGAAGAGCAGTCAGTGCTCTTAACCACTGAGCCACCTCTCCAGCCCCTGTGGTATTTCTTGAAAGAGGATAATACTATGACTATTAATTGCATGTATTCACTGCCCTAAGAGGTTTCAGTGGCATAAATAATACAATTAAAATAATTTAATGGGATTTCCTAATTGATAATATAGTTAATTAGTCACTACTTATCCCAGCTGTCCTTTAAGTCCTGGTAAATTCAAGATAAATTAAAAAAGCTTTAAATTTTTTTAGGGGCTGGAGAGACTTCCAGAGGACCTGAGTTTAATGCCCAGCATCCACAAGGTGGCTTACGACCACCTTTAACTTCAGTCCCAGGGGATCTAATGGGCTCTGGGGACACACAAGCAAGCAAAACATGCATTCATGTAAAAATAAAGAGCTTTAAAATTTATATTTGTTTTATGTGTGCATATGTATATGTCCTCTGCATGTCTGGTGCCCATAAAGTCAGAGGCCAGGAAGTCCCCCAGAACTGGAGTTAAAATAAGTAGGCAAAGCTGGGTGGTGGTACATACCTTTAATCCCAGAACTCAAGAGGCAGAGGCCGGTAGACCTCTGAGTTGCAGGATAGCTAAGGCTACACAGAAACCCTTTTTCAAAAATAAAAAAAGCAACTAATATTGCTGCCATTGATGGTCATTCATTACTTTGTCACTTACCAGATTTAGACAAGTGATATTAGATTTTTCTTGAAATGTTGGGCCAGGTCTTAAATCATAATTAGGAAAATAAAACCCAGGGGGTAAATTCTGTAGGTCCCAAAGGGACGTGAAAAGGCCTCTCCAGTGCCTAGGAATTTACACAAAGGAAAAGAACAGGGTAAGAGCAACTAATTAAGGACTTGAAAAGAGTGGAAATGGCTCTTGAGAATTGTGAGCAGCTCCTGTTAATGGAACTGTGGTGAACACTTAGGACAATTTACTGAGCTAATGAACTAATACTTGAGATTTTTGCCTAGTAGTATCCTTGCCCTCACTGCTATGAAGGAGATATTCCCCAGAGCATTTGTGAACCACCTCTTCTGGGTATCTGGAAAAGAACTTTTGATTTCTATACATGTGGGGGACCCACCCCCATGTTCTCCCCCCGGATACTCTTTGAGGAGTGAGGGATATACTTTTGACTGCCAAGCCATCTCTCTAGCAACCTGAACGGCTTTTGTGTGTTTTTTAATAACTGCCAAGTGCTGCAGTTACTGGCATGGTGAGGCTGCGTCCAATTTAAACTGATTAATGCAAAGCACACACTTTTTTTTATTGTTGGGAATTGAACCCGGGACCACATGTTAGACAACAGTGGACAAAAGTACTAGATGTAAACTCCATGGGAGGGAAGACCCTTACTGTTTGTGAATAAATTCATGGTGGATTGTATTAAAGATTGACAGTTAAGTGTAAAATTACTGTGATTTGTTTTGTGACATGGTCTCTAGCCAAAACTCCCCTCTACCTTGGTATATAGTGACTGAACCTGGTCTTCCTGCTTTACAGGTGTGCGAGCACTGCTCCTTATCTTGTGTTGGGGATTAAACCCAGGATTAACCTACCAGCTGTGCTGCATCCCCAGCCCAAGACCTGTCAAAAATGATTCCCTCGGACACAAAAAAATAATTAGCTGGGCAGCAGTGGAGCGTGCCTTTACTCCCAGCACTAAGAAGGCAGAGGCCGTCTGCTCTCAAACTTGCCTCAATTGGGACTGCAGGCATTAGCCACCCTAATTAATGTTTTAATGCATTTAGTTCTACATAGATATGTAGCTAGAGTTTTCCTGCCTGGCCCACAGTCACGACAAATCTCTCTCACCTGCCAGTCCCACAGCAGCTCAGACCCAACCAAATAAACAGAGACTTATATTGCTTACAAATTATATGGCCGTACCAGGCTTCTTGCTAACTGTTCTTATATCTTAATCCATTTCTATAAATCTATACCTTGCCACGTGACTCATGGCTTACCGGCATCTTCACATGCTGTTCATCATGGTGGCGGCTGGCAGTGTCTCTGACTCAGCCTTCCATTTCTCAGAATTCTTCTCCTCCTTGTCCCGCCTATACTTCCTCCTGCCTGACTACTGGCCAGTGTTTTATTTACTAACCAATCAGAGCAACACATTTGCCATACAGAACATCCCACAGCATAGATACATGCCTTTTCCTGGTAAGAAGTTCCTTATTGCCGGATCAGATCCTGGGCTGCCTCCCCCCACTTTTTTTTTTTTTTTTAGCTTGGCATTGAAAATCACCTATCTGTACCAGGCTTTCAGGCCTTCATTCTTTTTGGTTTTTCGAGACAGGGTTTCTCTGTGTAGCTTTGGCGCCTTTCCTGGAACTCACTCTGTAGCCCAGGCTGGCTTGAACTCAGAGATCGCCTGCCTCTGCCCCCCTAGTGCTGGGATCAAAGGCATTCGCCAGCAGGCCTTCATTCTTACCATCCCTAGTGCAGGCCACAACACCAAAGCCTTAAGTAGAGAGTTCTTGAATTCTAAGCTCCATGCCTGGCCCTCCTTAAGGCCAGATTTCTTAGTCGCCGCATCAGAGGACAGTCCTCCAGGGTGTAGTCTTTCCAGTCTTTCCATCCCCAAACTTCTAAAATGTGCTTTGTGAATACAGTCTCACAAATCTGTCTCTTAACTAGTCTGCCTTCCATTTCACTGCAGAGCTTCAATAAATACTCAATTAAAAGAACTTTTGATTTCTATACATGTGGGGGACCCACCCCCATGTTCTCCCCCCAGGATACTCTTTGAGGAGTGAGGGATAAGAGATTTAGATAGAAATACAGAGTGGGGAGAGACAGAAACAGGATAAACTTGGGAGGGCCTGGATCTTAGTCCACTGGCCCCTTCTGTCTCTGCAAAAGGGCTATTTATAGGAATGCCAAAGGGTGGAGCAAAAGACCCCTCCCTAGCACAGCCAAGTGCAGACCCTTCCAAACACCTGGTGACCATGCATGTGATCAATCCATCCCCTTATGCAGCCCTGTTGGGTAAAGCAAGCTCAGATCTCATTAGGAAACCTCTGTGGGCCCCCACATACACAATTATGAGATGCCATTAGAGTGTGTAAACATTTGGTTAAGTGTATTGAGATTTGATAGGAAGATCTTAATATTTCAATGACCATTGGGTTTTGCTATCACTGTGATCTGGGTTAAAGCTTTCCTTATCCCTTGTCCTGTGATACACAGACAGGAATGACTCCCTCTTGATGTCTTAAGAGACATTTCTGTGAGTAACTTATATTGTAGGTTTTCCTCTTTGCAGCCTCTCCTTACTAAGATATCTCTTGACAGTTATATTTAATAGCTGGGGCTTCTGTCACAGTAAAGTAAGCTTACCTCAGCTCTGATTTCTCTTGCTACACATTCTTCATTGAATGGGTCCTGTTTCCCTTCCATACATTCAGAATCTCTTATGCCCATGTCACTAAACCTTATTTTTAGTCTTGTTCTTGTTAATCATTGTGATTCACTTATTTTCCAAGTATTCCTTCAACTTTTGTTCACTATTTTTTGTAGAATGCCATGCTGTGAAGCATCTGCGGTGGATTCCGACTTCAAAGATAACTTTTAAGTTGTCTTTACATTTCGTCATTTCTCTTTCCCTTTGCTGTTTTCTTCACAGTGGGAGCAGAAATGTTTTTTCCAGGGTGTGAATATAGTTCTGCATATATTTTGTGGTGTTTTTTTCTGTTAATAACCAGGATTTGTATCCTCTACTTCATCTCAGGCTTTACTTGACTCCATCATTGCATTTGTACCCCGGGGAGAATGGCTCTTTACCACCTCCTCAGGCTTCTGCAATGTTACCTACAGAAGCACATTTTTACCCCTGGTTTTCCTTCTACCTGGGATGACTTCATTTTCTTTACTTGCCTAACAGTTTAACACCAGATACTAGCTTTCTCATTCCTCAGATTATTTATGCAAACTTTGGTTTCAATTATCTGCACATATTGCAAGTTTCACGAGGACAAAGACTGCCATTGTCACCGTTGACCTTTTCTCTGAGGCCTAACTGATAGGAGAAGCACCAGTGGTGAAGCACTAAATTGAGGTAAAGTGCTAATTGTGACCCTGAGAGGTGGCTTTTGTCACCTGTCAAAGTGAACTGGTTATGTGTAAACAGCGTTACCACCTCATAGAAAGCATCCTGTAATTAATCTTTGTATGAAGAGTCTCTGCCTTCCAAATTCTGAGTTCTCCGAGGGTGGTTGCAGCTCTCTTTTATCTCAGAGCGCACGTTTTTGCAGTTAAGAGTGCAGAACTCAAGTCGGCAGTGGTGGCGCACGCCTTTAACCCCAGCACTCTGGAGGCAGAGGCAGGAGGATCTCTGTGAGTGGAGGCTAGCCTGGGCTACGGAGTGAGTTCCAGGAAAGGCGCAAAGCTATCCAGAGAAATCCTGTCTCGAAAAACAAACAAACAAAAAAAAGAGTGGAGAACTCAGGCGGTGGTGGCACACGCCTTTAATCCCAGCACCCGTAAGACAGACAGGCGATCTCTTAGTTCGAGGCCAGCCTGGTCTACAAAGCAAGTTGCGGTACAGGCTCCAAAGCTACACCGAGAAACCCTATCTGGGACCCCCACTCCGGATTAAAAAAAAAAAAAATAGAGTGGAGAACTCTCAGCGAATACTCTACGAATAACTCTTTCAGAGGACGGGTCTATTGCCAGCAGTCACGTCTAGTAGCTTACAGCGGCCTGGTACTCCAGTTCCAGGGAGTACTCACACTGTTTTGGCCTCTGCTCTTAGAGACCTCTTCAGAGCCGCCAAATTATGCCTTTTTTTTTTTTCAAGATGGTGCGATGGTCTTCTTAAGAGTAGAACTGCACGCCGGGCGGTGGTGGCGCACGCCTTTAATCCCAGCACTCGGGAGGCAGAGCCAGGCGGATCTCTGTGAGTTCGAGGCCAGCCTGGGCTACAGCGCGAGATCCAGGAAAGGTGCAAAGCTACACAGAGAAACCCTGTCTCGAAAAAAAAAAAAGGAGTAGAACTGCTCTATCCACCCCTAATTAATTTTATGGCACCAGAGTTTGTAGTTAAACAACTGAAACTATAGTTCCCTATGGTACGGATCCTCACGCGATAAATCGGAGAGTATAGAGGGCCCCGTCTAGCGCTGCACTCGTTATTTACTTGCTTATTTATTTTCAGGTGTTTTACAGCATTATTTAGGTGGCAGGGCATTTTCTAGGGAGGTACACGAACCTGTAGAAGCTCGTGCGGCTTTTCCCGCCTTCTCAGGGGGAGGGAGAACAGCTCAGCCTCAGAGAACGAGGCCGGCGGCGCGTGTCAGGTCCCCAGCCCGCGCCGGGGGCGGGGCCGAGCGCGTGCCGAGCTAGAACTGGGGCGGCGGGGGTGGGGGGGTGGGAACGAGCGCTCTCGCGAGAGCGCCTTCTCGCTCGGTCGCCACCTCCTGCCAGCGCCGTTGCTGCGGGGGATTGTGGGAGCCTCCGCGTCCCGCTCGCTGAGAGAGGTATCTCTCCTTTTCCCTCTCCCTTCCCCTAAGGTAGGCGTGAAGAGGGTAAGAGCCCGGGTGGGTGGGTGGGTGGCTGGCCCGGGGCTGTCCGCGTCCGCGGCGAGCGGGCCAGCCGCCGTGGCCGGGGCTGTCGGGGGTCGGCGGCGCGCCGTTCTCGCTCGCTCCCGCCCGCCCGCCAGTGCTGCCTCCTTGGGCGCTGCGTATGCGAGCCGCCCGAGCGGCGGCCGCCATGTTAGGAGTGCGGTGGCGGCGCGACCTGCCTCCTCGGGCGGCGGAGGTGAGCGGTTCCGCCGGGGAGATGCGCGGCCAGCCAACGGCCCGGAGTGCTGCAGCAGAGTCCGGGGGGGGGGGGGTCCGGAGGTGTGCTCGGCCGCCGAACGTCCTGCGCCCCGGCCTGGAGGGGGGCGGGGGCGGGCCGAGCCCGTTACACGCGGGCCGCAGCGCTGGAGGAGGGAGGGAGGGAGGAGCGTTCGAAGCCTGGGGGACCGAGCGACCGTCCACTGGGGCCTGCCATTTGGGGTTGGATAGTTGAGCGTAGTAAAGTTGGCGGGAGCGCGAGTCCCCGGTAGTGCGTTTGCCGTTCTCCCCCTGGAAATGTACCCAAAATGGAGGACTTGGTAGGATGTGAAAAGCTTGCGTTGTTTTGACCGACGCTTCTTCCCCGAGCCTGGCGTCAGCGGCCTTCTCGGCGTTCCTTACCCATCCCTTCGTACTGCCCCGTTCCCAGGACTCCCGCGTCCCTCGCCCGCGCGCGATTTTCGCCAGACATCTGGAACAATCCCTCCCCATCCCCCCAGTTGCGTAAAAATGGCCGAAAATGAAGCGTTAACGCTTGGTTTTTGTACTGCCTCTCGGGCACAGCTTTCTGCATGCTACTGGGTAGAATATTTAATCAGTCACCTCACATTTCTTTTTCTCTATCAAAATAGTCCAGGTTCCTCTGGACAGGCCCGTGGGCTGTGAGACCTTCCGGTTTTCAGACAAAGGGTTTGGAGGACCGTGGTGTAGTGCTTCAATCTTTCTTCTCACGGCTAGTGCTGTGCCATGCTTTTGTGTTTTTCTTTAACGTAGGTGTTCTTAGGCGCTTTTCCTCGTCTGTGACTCTGTCTAAAGGATTAGCCCCTTCTGTGGAATATGGCTGTAGTGGACAGGTTACAGTTACTCCTCTAGACGTTTCTAGAACAGTTGTGGTAATTCTGAAATTTTTAGTCTTTCTGGAGCTCTGGAATTTTGTGTCGCTGATTTCATAGGAAGTGATCATGGGATTTTTGTGTTGCTACTGCGTGTTGCGTATTTAAATAAGCTAAGTTGCCAGTCGATACAACACGCTTTGCCCTAGTAAATTTAGACTTGACTATGCCGGCAAAAATTACATCGCAGGCGGTTTTGCATAGGTGTTGAAAAGCTTCTTAAAAGCTCCTAATTGTTGGGCATAGTGACGCATACTTGTAATAGCGGCACTCGAGACCAACGCAGACCAAGAATTGCCATGACTTCGGGGCCAGCCTCGGTAACATCAAGATTGTCTCAAAACAACATCATTTTACTAACAGTTAAGTCACTCTACGCATTATGTAGATTTCTTTTTGAGATCTTTGGAGGAACTCCATATCCTCCTGTCTCAGCATACCTGGATTACCTACAGGCTTGTGCCACCACGCCCAATTATCTTCATAACTTACACGAACATTAGTATTTTAGCAATCTAGAAGAAGGGAGGGGGGAGTATTTTATTGCAAAAAAGCCCCACGGTTGCCTTTGCACTTAGATGTTTTTACAAACTCAAATGTCACTGAAATACAGAAGATTCTTCTGGTTAGTTATATAATCCTTGAAAAAGATACATTACCCATCAGGTCTTGGATTGAGGTTCTTTAAGCTTACATTTCTTGGCATTTTACGAGTACTTAGTTTTTATACTTCCTATCCATAGAGGTAGCTTTTAAACGTAATCTGATTTGGAAGTATTTAACTTTTTACCTGATGCTTTTAGACCAAGAAATAATACAATAAGGTGATAAAGTTTTAAAAGCAGAAATGCAGCGATAATATCTTATATTTTAGAAGTATCATGGTTCCCATAAGTGCTGTGGTAGAAGACAGTATTAAATCTTTTTGGGTTGTTCTTTGTTTTTGTTTTGAAACAGGTTTTTTGTGGAACTCCATATGTAGACCAGGCTGGCTTCGAACTCAAGAGATACACCTGCCTCTGCCTCCTGAGTGCTGGGGTTAAAGGTGTTCACCACCATGCCCCTGTCTGAGTATTAAGTCTTAATTTTGTTTTGGTTTTTTTGTTTGTTTGTTTTTCAAGACAGGGTTTCTCTGTGTAGCTTTGCGCCTTTCCTGGATCTCGCTCTGTAGACCAGGCTGGCCTTGAAATCACAAAGATCCTCCTGCCTCTGCCTCCCAAGTGCTGGGATTAAAGGTGTGCACCACCACCGCCCGGTTTAAGTCCTAATTTTATAGTGACCATGCTACCAGTATGGTCCCTGAAAATAGTTCTAAAATGGTGAAAAGGTTGCACTTAAAGAAATTTATTCTAACAGTCAAATTGTGTTTGGTAATATTAATGGCAGTTTTTAAGTGTGGATTTTTAATTGATGGGAGTTGAGTGGTTTCACTCTTACTTAGCATTCATTTGTGCACAGAGGCTCTGGATTTGTTGGTAGGCAATAAAAATTGAAAAATTTTCAGTTTGGAGGAGGGGTGTTTTATTGTGAAAATGGAAATCTATACAGCTACTTTAAATAATATTTTAAGAGGAGGGTAATATATTAGGAAGCAATAATTACATGGAAAGTCAATATTGTTGATGTCAACTTTGATTTGTTAAAGAAATGTGTAGAAAAATATGTACCCAAAAATATTTTCTCTGGGGCTGGAGGGATGGTTAAGAGCACTGACTTGCTCTTCCAAAGGATCTAGGTTCAGTTTCCAGCACCCACATGGCAGCTTACAACTGTCTGTAACTACAGTTCCAGGGAATCTGACACCCTCACACAAATATACATGTAGGTAAAACTCTAATGCACATAAAATAGAAATAAATAATTTGAAAAAATTTCAAATGTTTGTTTTATGTTGGGTCATGGCACAATAACTCAGGCTGACCTTCAACTCTCCATTCTCCTGCCTCTGCCTCCACCTCCCAAATGCTAAGACAGCCACTAAACCTGCCTCCATTTGCTTTTGTAATGAGAAAAAAATGTGCATGTAGGTATAAATGGTAGAAGTCCTTATCAGATCAGATTCTCATGGTTTTGAGTATTTCATACACTTTTAAGAAGAATTAATGTAGAAGTAGACCAGCTTCTGGGTTGGGGATTTAGCTCAGTGGTGCGCAAGACCCTGCGTTCGATCCTCAGCTCCAAAAAAGAAAAAAAAAACAGCTTCTAACAAAGTCTGGAAAATGTAATATTCAGAAATGACAAAAAAATTGTACTTGTGCTAATAAGATCAGGTATCCGATAATTATTTGTTAGATATTCTTAGAATAGCTATACAGAACATGTTCTCTTTGTTCTAAAATTCCTTTTTTTTTTTTAAACTGGGTCTCATTGTGTAGATCAGGCTGGCCTCAGTCTCAGAGATGCTACTGCTGCTGCCACCTGCCCATTACTGGTATTAAAGGCATGTAACACCACCCCCAGCTGTTCTGAAATCCTTAATAAAAAACTGTGTGTGGAAAACTATAGATAACTAAAAGTAGAACAGAAAGAAACTAGAATTAACATTTTAAATGTGTAGTCTTTAAGGGATTTTATATATAACTTTTCAAATTGAAATGGTGTAAGAAAATTTGGGACTTTGGAGTTTACCATACAGAAGTTTATTTTTTAAAAATCATTAAGGCTATCTGGAATGCATAGTATGGCTCTCTTCCTACCTACCCATTCACCCCCCCAAAAAAATCCTATTAAGGTTCTCAGCTGTGTATATCTTAAGTGTGATTATGTGAATCAGGAGCACGTTAGAAAATACAATGTTTCTGGGTTGGTTGCTTGTTTTTGGAAACAGGGTCTTGCTTTGTAACTTCCTGGTGTTTGTGTGTGCAGTAGTGAATGCAGGCTCACAAAAATGGACCCTCTACTATGTTTGAGGCAGAATCGTACCCCCACTTTATACTCCAGGTTAGCTGGCTTTCCATCTTCTGGGATTCTCCTCTCTGACTCCCTTCTCTCTGTAGGAGTGTTGGGGTGCCAGTGCCCATGCTATGCTTTTAACTTGTCCTCATGCTTGCACAACAGTTTGTACCCAATAAGTCATCTCTAACCCTATGCTGGTAGCTTTTATTGAAGCCTTTTGTAAAGTTTAATAAGTGACAAATTTATTTAAAAGATTATTTTTGTGACTCTAAGGATTGATCCTAGGACCTTACACATTAAGTGCTCCAACGGTGACCTACATCCAAGCCTCCAAATGAAAACTTGTTTTTAAAGTGTGTGAAGAGATGTATAGGACAATACCAGGTGTCCTCAGAAATGCCATCCATCTTCTTTGAGAGCAGATCTCATTTGGCTTGAAGTTACCAATTAGACTACAATAGCTGGCCAAGCAAGCCCCAAAGACCTCTTCCTTGTCTTGCCTCTGCAGTACAGGAATTATAAACTCCTACTAATATACCCTTTTTTAAACTCTAGTTCTGGGGGTTGATCTCAGATTGTATTTGCAAGGCAAGCACTTTACTGACTGAGCTGTCCATCTAGACCTAGTATTCTTTATTTTTTTAAATAATTTATATTTTATGCATGTATGTTTGTGAGAGGGTGTCAGATCCTCTAGAACAGGAGTTACAGACAGTTGCGAGTTGCTATGTAGGTGCTGGGAATTGACAATACCCAGGTCCTCTGGAAAAGCAGTGAGTGCTCTTAACCACTTAGCCACCTCTCTAGCCCCTAGACCTAGTATTCTTGTAACTTTAAAAAAAAAAATCCACCTGGGCAGCAATGGCGCACACCTTTAATCCCAGCACTCAGAGGCAGAGCCAGGCGGATCTCTGCCTGGTCTACAGAGTGAGATCCAGGACTGGCACCAAAACTGCACAGAGAAACCCTGTCTAGAAAAGCTCCCCCCCCAAAAAAAAAAATCCAATAAAGAATATTTAAGCCAGGTGGTGATGGCACATGCCTTTAGTCTCAGCATTCAGGAGGCAGAGGCAGACAGATCTCTTGTGAGCTCAAGGCCAGCCTTGTCTACAGACGGAGTTCCAGGTACAGCCAGAACTGTTACACAGAGAAACTCTGTTTTGAAAAACAGGACAAAGATGATGATGATAAT